CCAATCACACGGCTCACAGTTTCTCGTCGCATCATGTTTGGCCCTCCGCGACCTTCACCTCTCGCGAGTTGGGCCAAGTAGCTACAGCAAAAACGATTGTAAAGACGCCCTGAATGACATTGAACAGCACGGGCTCGGCCATGGTCCTCGAAACATGATGCCTATCTTGAAGGTCTCCACATCTGTCATGTTTATGCTACGCTTATTGCCACAGTTTGTTTGACTTGGCCCCCATCAGTGCAGTTCTCACTTCATCAAGGGCACAGCTCTTGGTAGGTCTCCGCCCGCCATTCATCGTCCTTTGCAGGCTGCATCATGTTTTGCGGCAAGAGTTGAATTGGCTGGGGAAGCTGGTTTTGGTGGCGAACTGGCAGAATGCTCAACAACTATAATGGTGTAGATCGATAGGCTCAGATATGCATCCAAGCGTATCCACACAAATGATTCTACGGCTGTGTTGTGTGTACTGTTGGACACTTCTCCACCTCGTTTTCGGCGCGGCTTCATTCTTCTAGCCACGCCGACAGAGCAGGGATTGCTCACAGCATGTCATGAGTCACCATTGTCGTTCAGCTCCACCAAGTGGCTACCGCTTTGGCCTGGGTCTGCCAGGCCACAAAGCCGCAGTTCAGCAGAATAAAAGCCCCACTGAGGCTTTCGTACCTGGCACGAAAGGGTTGGCCATGCTGGTACCAGTACCGTCCGGTTCTCCCATTCAGTACATTTGGGCACTCCAGATTCCTACGTTAGCAAAGGAAAGGCCCAGAGACCAAGGAAAGCTCGCAAGCTGAGGAGTGCACGTTGAAGAGGTGACGATTCGCTGCCAAATTGTTTGGCTGTCTGTTAATCTCTTTCTGCTCCTTAGCTCAAAACCCCTCAGCTGATTGATTTATGATGATTTATGGCAACTGGAGGAACTGGAAGTGTCAACCTCACCAGATCTGCTGTGGCTTGGTGTGGGAAATGCTGAGGGCCGCGGGTGACCGATGGATGAGGATAAGCAGTGCTAAACCATGCGAAGCCCCTTGTGCTGTGCAATGGTGACCTTGCTCCGTCAAAATGAAGGCAAGCATCTCAGACGCAAGGAATGCGGACTTCCTCATGTGTTTCTGGGAGATTCCATTGTCCTCCGCCACTTTGAGAACACCTCAGAGCGGAAATGATTGTATTGCACAAAAATGATATACAGTAATTTAAACAACTATACAGTTTGTGTGATATACATACATACATACATATATTACATTGCATTGCATTGCATTGCATTGCATTACATTACATTACATTACATACATACTTACAGACTTACAAACATACAGACATACATACATACTTACATTACATTACATTACACTACACTACACTACATTACATTGCATTACATACCTGCGGAATTGCATACATATTGCTTCTTTTCACCCCATTCAGCCTTTAAATAATGTATCAAACAAGGAGGGTTTAGCACTCGCTTCGGTCTGCGAAGGCACTTGGAGGCAATGCAGCCAAAGACTTGGACTCGACCAGTGCACGGCGGCCCTGTCTGTTTTCTGCCACCTTGGACTTCGTCAATCCAAACCTTCACACTTCGTGCTGCGTCTTTCAGTAATGGACCAAAGAGAAAGCTCACCCAGCCAAGTGACATGTCCATCACCATCCTCATCAACCTGGGTCTCCCCGGATGCGCCTGGAGAACTGCTCGCTGCTCCGTCCCCCTCGTCCGCTGCTTGGTCACTCATCATCGAGGTCCGCCGTCCAGCATCTGTCAGGGGAAAAGCAGCATGAGCAAACCTGGAGTTAGAGCCTGGTGACCTGGTGCTTGTTCCGAGCAATAGCCCTTTGGAAAAGTTGGCATGTTCCGAGACAACGGAACAAAACGGGCCGTTGGCATTGCCATGTGAAAATATGCTTGCATTAAGTTGCTACGTTACTTCAGGGAATGTTAGTAGGGAGGGCAGTACAAACCATGTCAGGTTACCATGTAGAACCACCACCTGACAACGAAAAACGAAGCAACAACATGTAGAGCTGCCTGAAAAGTTGGAGCTCAACGAGGCCCTGCTCTCCACTACGATCATTGCCTCTGGGCAATTGAAATCCACCTGGGCACCGTGACCCAGCATTGTGAGCGGCATTTTGGACGAGCAAATCACACCCAAAAAACATCTATGCAATGCTTTGCATTGCTGAGCTCGCCTACCTTGCAAAATCCATTGCACCCAAATCACACAAATCATGAGCTCCAAAGCCCAGGGACATTAGGCTTCTCCTCTTGAGTCTCCTCCTTTGCTTCTTTGCTGTCCTTCGCCTCTTTCACTGCCAACTGCATGTTTCGGATGGCAGCTGCCCTCATGGCCACACCTACCAAGCAAGAAGGCAAGGGGTCAAACAGTCACCTACCGTGTTAGCTACGCGTATCACCCTGAAGCTAAGCAGCTTCCCTTCACAGATATCTTGGCACGCCTTTTACGTGCCACACACACGTGCCACAGCATCCCTCCTTCCACCCAATCCCTTCCCCGCGCCGTGCGAGCTGGCGAGCTTCTGCAGTCTGGGGATGCGGCGTGGAGGGTTTCCTGTCAAGTGGGGTGGCGAATGCAAATCGAGAACATAAAGACATGCAAAGAACTGAAAACAATCACATGTATTATATATATAGTATAATACAATTCATATTCATATCTTCACCAGTTTGTTCTTGCTAAAGTACACCAAAACTCTCAAGCTCAAGCTTGCCAAGTGCGGGCCTGCACCATCAGCACCAGCCAAACCACTTCCCGAGGATGCCTCTGATGGGAAGTTCCCTGTCTCGCTGGCAGGAACATGTGGCAGGGAAGGTTCAGTAGACTCCGTCGGCTCCGTCGGCTCCTTCGGCTCCTCAAGCAAAGGAGCCGCCGACGCCGGAGCGGGCGGCGTCACTTCAGCCGACGTCGGGGGCTTCACCTCAACCGACGTCGGCGGCTTCACTTCGGGCGTTGCTGCTGGGAGTTCTGCAGGTGCAGGGGCAGCGGGAGGTGCGGCGATCTGTTGCGCAGCGACTGGAGTCTGAGCAGGGCTTTCCTGTTGTGCACCTGATCTTCCTGGGCTCGAAGAAGCCTCTGAAGCCATGCTCCCATTAAGCCAGAAGCTTGGTGATGGTGTGCAGCCTTTCAGGGAATTCCGGATGTTTTAGCTTCGAAAGCTTAACTGCCTGAGAAACATGTGACACGTATGACCATATGCTGCCGCCGTATGTGAAACCCCAAGAGATGCCCAGAACGACGTTCGGAAAAAGGAAGGTGTTCCAGAGAGTCATGGAGTCCTCCTACCAAGGCTATGTGTAGCTCGGAACCTCAAGGCGTTCCCCTAGCTTTCTGCCACAATATTTTTTTCCAGTTCATCACGTGATGTCCAACCTGTGTGCCTCGCTGTATGCGGGCACACAGGACTCCCAACCTGGCCTGACAACCATCTCGCAGTGCTTGATGTCACTTCCTCTGCTGGAGAATCCTCCCGCATCTCTTTACTGGTCGCCTCAGTGCGGTGATGATTAGTCGTGATCTGTATCAGATTCACTGATTCACCGACAAATCCTCTGGAATTATATAGGAAGGTGCACTCATCATTTGGGGAAGCTTAGATCCTGCAAGCCCCAACTCGTGCCAAGCATCTGTGTTGGAGGTCAGCTTCTCTCCTGGTCACACAACGACAGGGTGGAGGGTGGCTTGGAAGAATCAGGGGAGCCAACCGTCAACACTCCAATGTAGAGACCAGGCATTTGACGACGCGAACTGCAAAGCTGAAGCATGACATAGCATGACGAAAAAAACTGATGTTAAAGGTTTTACGTGTTGCAAGTACTTCTATGAAACATCGTAACACTATAAATTACAACTTCATCTGGAGTCCTGTAAGGCCACCATGTATATTATAATATTGTAGAGGTACCTGCGGGATGAGAACACCTTTGGCACACAGCCCCACCTGCCAATTTGGTCCAGCTATGTGGTTTCAAGGGCTCCAGTCGTCCAAGTCTGGGCGGTTGTGGCACCCGCTCCACTGCCAGCAAGCCTGAAAGCCGCGAGGCTTAACACCCCAAGACAATCTGGCTCTGGGCAACTGCTCGGACAGTTGATTGGCAGTGGCTTCTGTAATGTTCGATACTTGCGACTTCAATCGTGTTTTGGTCCCCCACTTGAATGTAAAAGATTAATCGCTACTAGGAGCAAGGACGCTACTAGGATTCGCACCGCAATATTCTTTTGGCTCCCTCAAGTTCACCCGCTCACACAAGTCGCACCTTCCTGTCCGCGCTTCTCAGCATTGTTCAAGGAGATGGCGAAATTGGCCACACAACGGTGAAGCTCTGCCTGATGTGATTGGCAGAGTTCCTCCAGCTCCACTTGCAGCCTCAGCCACTGGAGAGCTCCCGAGCTGATCTGTCACTCTATCTAGGTGTTTCTCAAGGAATCAAGGAACACAGCCCTTACATGCGGACTGGGCTGGGTGAACTGGCCAAACTGGTGGACAAAGTCAGGCATCAAAACTGATGTCGTTTCATCACTCATCTAATTACTCAAGTCTACTGAATCTGTTTTGATCTGCTTTGGCCATTTGAGATATCCAAGAAGCCGTTTCAGAGCCTCTGGGTCCATCTTCGCTGCAAGACGCACAACTTTAATCTGCAGCCATGGCCCCGACGGGAAAAAAAGGTGAGGTGGCTAGGGTTGCGGGTGGAGCCGGTTTTTTTCTGCCAAAGGTGCCATCCCCTTTCTTGTCTGGTCGATCTCTGTCCGTGCACGTATGCGTCTCTGAGGCCTGTTGCATCAGAACCCTCCCTGCCCGCCCTACGAGCCGGCACTGATTGCGAACCATCAAGGCAGTCAAGACTCATGTTGCCGATACATTGCATGAGAAGAGGCGGTGTTTACCGTAATCTGTGGGAAATCCTACATTCAATATGAACCAGCGACTTAGATCTGCCAATTTAGCGTTTGGACATCTTCAGTTCTCAAGTCCAAGTCCTCCTCGTCCTGAGCTTCAATGATGAGAGCATACCTGGCAAGAATTTCACAACCCTTCCTGACTGACAAACATGCTCTCAAAGCTTGACCAAGAATTCCTTCATCAGCGTCAGTACTTGGGGCACAATCTTTGCAAGAAGCTCCGGCAGGCTTGGTCAACATCCTCACAACATCGCCGTTGTGAAGAATGTGACAACGGGAGAGTGCTTTGGGGGTTGGTTTGATCTATATCGCCTTCCTTGGAGGCCTGCTGCATCCAACGAAATCCTTTTTCAAGTCCGGGGGGTGGGCGGTATAGGCTACTAGTCAGCGCTAGTCAGTAGCTCTATGACGTACTGGACGCTCGGGACGGTAGGATGCAGGATAGCTCCGCTAGTCATTTAATTCCTGTAGATGTTTAGGGAAACTTAGTCCCAATGGGTGGTCATCGGTTTACTCTAGGTGAAGTGAGGCCAGGAGATTCAAGTCATCACAGACCGACCATGTCTTCCGAAACCGGCTCCGGTCAGTTTATCCCCTGAGCCCTTGGCTGCTGGCTGTTGAGGCTTCGGGCTGCAAAGCTTCAGTTTGCTCGCAGTTGCCTGAAGGACCTCCTGGAATGAAGTGCTGAAACCAAGATGGCACTTGGTCCAAACAGTCACGAATCACCGAGTCACCATCCCCTTTATTCCAAGACCACCAAAAACCGTGCACAAACATGCGCTTTGTCGGCTTTGTTATGCTTTGTTTATCTTTGTTTGTGATCTTTTCAGGTGAAGTTGGCCATACGGTAGTTGCATCTACAGCGCATCCTCAGTGATTCAGTCATGATCCGGAGCCCGGGGGTCGCTGATCCATCAACGGCTACACCGGCGATCTCCAATCCCGAAAGAAATCGGACCATGACAAGGGCATAGCAAAAAGTGCATCGAGCTCCTCCAGCAAGTTGCTCAAACACAAACCGTTTCCACCTCAGCAAGGTCCCTAGATGCCCAAATACACACATAGTGGGCTGCACGGTCTCACGCACACACTTATTGAATTGCGTACGGATTTGGTTGCGGTTGCCCCCCGCCAACCTAGGTTTAAAAAATGCCTGAGTAAAACGAGGCACGAAAGTTGGAGGTCATCGCTCTTACGTTGGAGGCCGTCGAAGGCAGGTTGAGGGGCCATCGCTAGTAGGTTGGTGACAAGAAACAAGACAGCAAAACAGTCAGTTGGAGGTCCTCCCTCTTAGGTTGGAGGCCATCGAAGGCAGGTTGAGGAGCCATCGCTAGTAAAGTTGGTGACAAAAACCGAAACGGCAAAACCGTCAAAGTTGGGGGTCTTCGCTCTTAGGTTGGAGGCCGTCGAAGGCAGGT